AAGTATTGGCAACTGGATTTTGATCTAACGGCTCAATGGTAAAGTGCTGGCTGTGGAACCTGAAGGTCGCGCGTTCGATCCCTGAGGATGCACACTCCTGAAGAGTTCCATACTTCGACCGAACAAATGTCCAGTTCTCCAAAGTTTCCAATGTTTCTTCAACATATGTCAGTCCATGATAAATACCAACCTGAAGTTAATAAATGAATCCCTACAAACCTCCAAATAGAAATATAAACTCTCGGGACTATATGTATTAGAAGAACAATGAGAAGACGATGAAAGCACCAAAAATCTTGAAACCGACAGGGTACTGAAACAACTAAGACCTTAAGACCACTACTTAAGTAGACAAAAATCACGAGGATATTTTCTAGTCCACTTATTCTTGAACTAAGGAAAGACGTGTAAATTATGCTTTTTAAAAGTTAAGACCATCTCCAGGCATCTGAAACACATCAAACAACTATTATGAGCAATACTCAGCATTATGAAGCTATTAGAAAAAGTCAAAAAAGCTATATCCAGATTTATTCATAACCCCATTACCAGCACAGAGCTGAAGTTACTCAAGACTTAAGAGGTACAATGTACGATTGCAATACAAGCAAACTGCTAAGTGTAAAACTTGGGCGCTGTGGTAGAATGCGACTCTATATTAGATTTGTAGATTTGATTTATAACACACAGCGATACAGTATTATTTATTTGATGGCGAAGTTTCGAGCATAAATTATTACTGCTCATAATCATATCACAGTGTAACCACACTACTTTCGACATCTGATTTTTGTAGTCCCGTCATCTCATATTCTTTATTTTCATTGGTAGTAGAATTTTCCATATCTGTGGTATAGGTGTCGCGTCATTTCCATTACATGTGTTGTATGGGTGTTGACTAGATGAACTAAGATTCTGTAATCAAACTCTCTCTCTCTCCACTGAATTATATTGGACTTAAGTAAAGTGGTTTTGTCCCCACCACATTATATGGTTCTACATTATTGGTCATATTGGGGTTCTGTTTTTCGATATTTGTCTAAATTCTTATGTTCCACTGATCTAACTGACCCCGACCGGCTAGTTTGACCTATGTACTTGACCTCACAGTCATTACATGGAATTTGATAGATGAGATTATTTTGCTTTATTGGTTCTTTCGGCTCCTCAAGTTCAATATAACACAGTGAAGAGATTGATTACTGAATCTTTGTTCATCGAATCAACACCCAACACCTTTAATAGGAATGATGCAACACCTATACCACAGACACGGAAAACTTTACTGCCAATAGAAACAAAGAATATGAAGTGAAAGAACTATGAAAATCAGTTGTCGAAAGTAGTGTGATTACATAGATATGATTACGAGCAATAATTTATCCTCGAAACTTTGCCATCAAATAAATAATACTGTATCACTGTGTGTTATAAATTAAATTGACAAATCTAATATGGAATTACATACTGCTAAGTGTTACACATCTTATTACCATTTCCAAATGATGTTTCAAGAAAAAGATTTATACATTCTTACACGAATTTGACTTATACTATTGAATTGATAGTAAAGAAAACAGAATACCTACTGTTTTGGTCTTTCATACAATGACAAGAATATGTGTCAGAATATGGGTGTAATGCAGCATAATAATCTTTTTGAATTGACGAAAAATACTGTTGATTTCCGTATAAAACTAGATATGAACAATTTTTCAGTATATAACTCCATTTAGATAGCCATGAGTTGAACTGATTACTGCATAGTCCGAATAGAGCGAAATTATCACACAAAAAAGTACTTCACCAACCACTTTAAGAACTATGTATTCACATACACATTTATGATCAGGAAACACGCTAACACACAATAAATTCTTTAAGACGTACCGTGAATGGATGCTATCTTTGAATCTACTGAGTCTATGATAATTCGCTGTTACAAGAGTGTATTCGTCATAATAACTAGAAAACCAAGTTAGAACTCCACACAAAACATACATTCGATTAATACGTTTTATTCATTTAATCTACAGATAAATTTTAATGTCTGACTGCTTAGTAACATGCACTATAGACGATACTAAAGAAATCGTAGGCAACAGCCTTTAAATAGTCATAATGAAGCTGATAAGACAAAATACAATCAAAAAACTAAAGAATGGAAAATCCTTGCGGAAAGTATGAGCAAACACCTGTCGTACTGATAAAATGGTATCATGGTTCGTTTACTATATAGTACAGTTTAAGATATGTTCCATTGGTTTGGCATTCAAATTGTAAGCAGTAGGACATAGGTTTAAATTCCGCTTCATTTATCAAGGCCTAGAAGACCAGATGGTATCAAATACACTAACAGGACCACTAGGTCTCACCGTTAGGATGTTTACTATTTAGTCACTGAGTCAAAATCCAATTGTCCACATTTCCTTACTTCTGTTAATCCGCGATATGGTTTATGAGCCACATCAACAAATTCCCTCCAAATACTATTATGTTGACCAGAGGATGCAACAACCAAAGAAGACAAACCGAATATCATTTACAAAATCAACTGCAATAACTGTAGTCAACACTACACTGGACAAAGTGGTCGCCCCCTTCGCCTTCGTCTACATGAGCCCCAATTGGCTATTAAACGCCACGACATTTCATCACTCATTTCGATGCATGTGGATACTTAAGGACATGAATTCAATTTCGACAATGCAGAAATTTTAGACAGAGGAAACAAAAAGAATATCAGAGAATTCCTAGAAGTTTAGTATTCAGGTCAGTCAGCAATCGTAGATGTACAGACATAGGCCCAATCTATCAACCAATAAGAATGTTAAACAACAGAACGGTCGGAGGTCATGCAGAAGAACAACCAACGGGAAAATCTGTACAGTCAATGACACAACAATCAAAGGTAAAAGCCAATCACAGACCACTTCGTCAAGGAAAGCTACTAAATCACTCACGGAGAGATATTAACAGCTCACTTCATACTGAAGTTAGTGCTGATGATGTCGAGAAAGATGATGAAAGCTTCACGATTAAACAACCCAGCTCAGAGAACACAAAACAACCAATACCATCCATATGAGCTACAAATATTCTCCACTACTCCTACATATTTAATGTCATATATGATAACTGTTTACTAGTTTCCATAGCATGAGCGTCCTGATTCAGTCAATCCTTTGTAACGTGACATACACCTCATAAAAGGGAGGAGGTACAAAAACTCCAAATTCATGGACTTAAGTGCCACCTAAAGGTGAAAGAATGAAGTCAATGTGGGGTAGTGATTAAATTATATAATGTGCAAAATCAACATACTGAATGACCCAGACTCTGCAATAAAGACTGAATAAATTGGTGGAAAATATAAACAGGAGTTAAGGCTATATAAGCCAGTATTTCCAACTAACTAACCAATAAATAACGAACTAACTGCACAACAATCCGCTCCATTCTATTATGCGGCTAAGAGATATGGCCACTGAGGACAAAAAATATGAAGAGCATAAGTATCTTCGTAGCACTGCCCACCTATGAAGGAATCACAGTGAGAGCAATGACAAGGCTACGCAAAGATTACTAGGGAAGAACGGTAATTTACTTGATGAGATGGTAAACCTTCATTGGTTTAGATGGCTTACACTTATGTTCTATATGCTAATACACCGCCTACATTACCGTACAATGTTAACCACTAAAGGAGGATTGGGTTGAGAGAAGGCTGAGAACGCCTGGTCTAAGACGTGGTAACAGTCAATGAAGTCTCTGACTATTGATGTGGGGCACATAGGGAAGTGTAAATTGTTTGATGGGAGGGGGGTTGTCGAAATGACAAGTAATGGTTGAAGGTTCTTTGTGATATGGTTGAAAATCGATTGTAATGGTGTACACATATTAACTCCTGGACATTTTCAAATGTTTGAAAATAATAATACCGATTGGCTGATCCAGCATATCTGTCTAACTGTAAACGTGATAACATAAAGTACATTTTGACTGGCCGCTCTCGAAAATAGGTTTTTCTCCTTATCCTCATATCAGATTGCTTTGAAAAAAAACTTGTTATATCTCCAAATATTATTATCATTATTATTATTAAAACATTTTTCTGCTTAACGTCACTTAGACCAAGTAACCATTTGTTAGGAATTCAGTATTAGTTTGTAGGTGAATAACTCGCAGTGAAATGTATGTACGGTAATCGAGATCTACCTAGATGTCACTTTCAGTTCAGTCACTCAGTAACTTCTTATGTGAAAATATATTACAATAATTATCTCCATTCATCATTTTTCTACTTAATATAAACCAATTTCGTCCATGAAATATATCGTTTAACTACAGGTAGTAATCATTTGACTGACTTTTAAAAAATTGTAATAACAAATTTCTTATACATGAAGTATTACATGAATTACGTGTAGTTCGTACGAGTATGAGCAATTTTGCAGAACCTTCAATCTGCTGCCATCTAGATTCAATTCATACATTTAATACCGGAAGTAAGTTTTCAGGCTTTATTTATAGACTGAGTATCTAAAATGCTATTTTAATATGTTACAAGGTTCATAACAGAATTCCAAGACTAATAATATTATTATGCAGGACCCTATCAGTCTTCCCATAACAGAGGTAACAACCGATACTGTTCTCCAAGAGATCATCTTAACAAACAATTAGCAATTAGCACTTACTGAAACAAAAATCTCAAGTGTTAGCTGACTGAAGAGATTACACAAAAAACAAGAATCGTAAAATTCAGCTTCGTATGTATATCTTGTTACACATGCAACATGCATAACGTAAGAAGAACAGAAGCTAGCTTATTGTATCCCATATAGAAAAGCCAGAGAACAAACTCAACATCACTACAAAGAAAAGGCAAACATACCCATCCAATGTTAAAAATTGGAGAACTGAAGATTGCTGTCAACGTTTATTTGGTTTATATCATAGTTTTGTGAAAGAGAAAAGTATAAAGTAAATAAACACATTTAATCCTGACGAGTTAAAAAATAATTTGGGTAGAATCGTAGGCCAGCTTCACTATCATCACGACAAATGAGCCCAGCCTCTTCAACAGCCAACAATCTTGCCTTAGCAAGAAATGGAGAAAGGTTCAATGCACGAGCGAACTCATCTGCACTTAAACTAACACGTTTTTCCACTAATTCTGCAGTAAATTTCAGTGTTTCATCTTCATCCTCAGAAGCCAGCTGAAGAACCTAAATTTAAAAGCAAAAGAAAGATAAATGTATTTCGAGAAACTATATGATCAATAAAAACATGAACTACAGACGAAATGTTAATATGAATACTTCTGATACCTTCGACCGTACACACACTCTTCGGATAAACAAGAGCATGAAAATGTACGTCCTTTGAAGTGAGTTGTTTTCAAACTGACAAACTTCTAACCAAGGATCATCTGTATTGTGACTGTGAAAAAGTTAACAGCAAAATACTTCTCTGTGTGAATTATTCCAGAGGTTTGGATGAAGCCTTATAAAACCATCGTTACTCACCAATACTAGATCTTACTATTAGGTTGAATGGTGGTAAGTTCTCTCGCAAATACAAACAGATTTGAAATTTATGCGTCCTTCAAGTACATCCGCTGGTAATGTGGCATATCTTAGTTATAAAGCCATTGTCAAATTTGATTGTACACGTCTACGCATTGTTAGTTTCACTTTCTTCAACTTTGGGTCCAGTTATGAATCAGTTTCAAAAACTGGTCAAGCATTTCGAATCTCCCGAATCAGTCTAAACCCATCAGACTAAAAGACAGCTAATTCGTGAGATAAAATATGAAATTACAGTGCTTATTGCTATAAGCGACATTGCAAGATGCTTCTCCGACTATGTGTAGTTGACCATCTAATCCAATTCAAGCAACGTTTAAAATAGGGTACACAGTGGTTCTGTGATTTGGTGGCATATTTGCCGATTGAAGAATGTGAATTCTGACACTGTACAATAATAGATGGACCTGTCACCGATGTACATATATGGAAACATACTTTCTCCGACAGACTGGTCCACTTCTCCGTAGGGCTACTACCACATTTGATGTACAGGACTTAAGACTGAACCTCTCAAAGGATATCTGTCGCTATGGGCGTCAATGTTTGGATTTCCAATCATTTTCCTAGTGGTCTCTTAGTAAACGCTTGATAGAAAAATGACGATTGAACGAAAAAATTTCACAAAGTACTAGCCAATGTACAGAAGGCGGTTTCGATTCAACTTTAACCTTTTCTGAACGATTGGCAGTTTCAGATGGTTTCTGATTGACAAACAGACAAATACAATCAACATAGAACCTCGTGACACTTCACATCAGCATGCAAAGAAGACAACAGTAAAAGAGTGAAGTCAAAGTAGACAAAAGTGAGAGAAGGAATCTTAAAAGGGAAATCGGTGAAAAGACACCTATCCCATCATGACCGACTTTCAAAAATGTCAAAAGAGAAATAGCAATATCGACTGATGACGCTTCGAGCACAATCTATTGCTCAGAATCATGAAAATGTGAGCAACAAATTCTGCTAGAAACGTCATTAGTAAGCAATACTGTTTCACTATGTGATACACATATAAAAGGAACTGTAATAGAACTCTATCACAATTTCCGAATCCTATTTTCACATTCATGTCACAAAGAGTCTCGAACCACTAATTCTTTTTATCTCAAGGACCCTAATCAATCAGTCTACATCTCGCTACACGGATTACACCAACAGTCAGAGATTTTATCGACTGACACCACATCTTGCATTGGCGACCTCAGATCTTATTCCGGTTCAATTCTACTTCAGTGGTTAACATAGTGCAGAGAGCTAAACAGTGGATTAGCATCCACAACATATGTACAAGCCACCTAAATCAGTGAAGGCCCGCCACCTCATCGAGTAAATCACCTTTCTTGCCAATTACTCGTTGCCTAACCTTGACAAAGGTTGCACGGTGATTCCACCATAGGTGAGAAAAGATGCAAAGACACCTGTCTCCAAAAGCCTGTGACCTTTTCATCTCTTCTACCTTCAACAGCCATGCCTCACAGCTGTGTATTATGACGGAGTAAACTTTAATGTGGTGTACGTGTACTTCAAAGGTAGTCGGAAATCTCCCCGGCACCACAGATGACTTAAGTGGCTAACAGCCGGACGAGCTTATTGAATAAGAGCTAACATTTCGTCAGCCACCACCCAAGTGAGGAAAGTGGTCAATAAATTACACTACCTCAATTTCTATCCCCTAACTAGGAGTAACTGCAGATTATTCTTGAAGCACCGACTTACACTTGACAGGTGCATAACGCATGTCAAACAGATTCAAATTTCTGTTCAAGATTTCTCAAATTGTCACTCAAGGTGTCCAGAAAAATCTGTACCTTGTCATCGTCTTCACCTTACAGGACTACGTTACCTGCGTACTTCAGTCTTACCAAGGATCTTCCTGTGGAAAGATCAGTCTCTCAGTCTCTCTCTCAGACGAGGGAGACCTCCTTAAGTGCATCTCTATGGGAGTTGAGTAAGAATGCAGGGAGTGGACACCCATAACAAACACCCCTAGACGTATACAACTGACAACTCAATATGAGTTCTAATACGCTTACGGGTGCTAGATTACATAGCCTTCAATATGATGTACTAACTCGGTACGCAGTTCAGTGAGAGGCACTACCATAAAACCTCTCGATGGACGCAGTTGAATGTCGCCTTCAAGTAGAGAAGTATGGATACTTTTTGACTTATTCTCCTCTACTATACTCTCACTAACCACTGACCTTCGTACACCAGTTTGCATGAAAAGTATAAATAACTATTTCCTGTTACCTACCGCCACTTCTTTTTCCATCTCGTTAGACTATGCTATCCACCACTGTTCAAAGTCAGTGCGAAGACTTCCTGTAAGTCAACAAATCAGTTGCTTCTGCTCTTCAATGGGTTCAGAACCTGCAATAATATGTTCTAGCTTATCCATTAGTTTAAAAGAAACTCCCAAGATCCACTGGCCTTTTCTAATTACTTTGTGAGAGTCGGCTACGGTCGCCATTGCTGCTTTTACAGGAGACTGGATACGGCATCAGGCTTTTGGATGGATGATTTCGTTCTGTACTGACAAGTGTCTAGCTAGTTACTCACTGGAAGCATCCTGAGTGTTCTCATTGTTCAGCTACGCTCGCAATAGTCGTGCTGCGATAGTTTTTCGACGTCCACCTAGGCGCAGACATACACTTGCTCGAAACGTTAGGTCACTTTTCAGATACGTGCTCCAGAAGGAACAGAAATCTTTCACAGACCCTTACTAGTGATAACTGGAAAAAACGTGGTTTATGTGTCCAAGGCCAAGCTGAGTTCAGTGGACGCCTGGTCAACAATATCTCCGAAGTTCGCGCTAACCAAATATAAATAGTTGTCTTCGCAAAACTGTAGTATTCAAAGGCCATTATCCCTTCTTTCAGCTGAGATTCTGAAAGTGTCACCCAAGTCCTTTACCATCGGACATAGTCGACCTATTTGTGCATTGAAATCACTTGTTTGACTTCAAATAGGTTATACAGTTTTCGGAAAAACTCACGCTTCACTTATTCCAAACAGCAATCAGTGAGTGCGTAAGCAGAGATTACTAGCAGACAACGACAAGTATCACTACTCCTTTCAGTCCTCAATGGTATGTTCAGTCGTACTGCATATATGTGACTGCCAACCGGGATCCATTTGAGCAGTGAACTTTCTGCCTTAGTACCCCCTGCTATATCCACACCTGCAAGTCTGCGAGAACTAGCCATCGAATTCCCAGAAACTTGAAGGGTAGTAATTTGTGGTAGGTTGGGTTTTGTACGCTAATGGAAGTATGCGGACGGCTGATTCTTCCCGGTCGCCCACACCATAGTTGACCTTTCAAGATACTTGAAAAAGAAAAAGGATTAGCTTTCTGTGACTCCAGAGCCCAAGTAACATCTACTTGAAACCAGTCACGTAGGTTCCTTTCAAGAGTTTTGAACTCAGATTATGTTATTTTGTCGCTCAACAAAGAAAACCCATACCCCCAGTACCAGAAGTCAGCACAGCAAGGTGGGGTGCTATTTGCTTTAACCAACTTCCTACCTTCCCATAGAGAAGACAACATCAGTATGCACTGGTCATCTACCGGAAACACCTTACTACCATCACACCTTGGTGAGTCAGCGGTACGACTTCGCCATCGGACTCCTAACATAGCGCAGCCATTTACAGTATGATGGTAACTGCTTTTTGTCTTATCACTATGTATTATTATTATTATTATTATTATTATTATTATTATTATTATTATTATTATTAGTCCCTTCGGTTCCTAATAGAACATAGGGATTCAGTAGCACGTCTCCAGCGACCTCTGTTCTCTGAAACCTTTTGAACCTGGCTCCACGACAGCCCACAAGCTCTCATTTCTTCCTCGCACGATCTCCTCCATGTCACCCTCACCACGGACGCCCAACTCGTCGCTTCCTATGGGGATTCCACTCGAGTACCTGGCCTGACGCGTGATGTCCCCAGTCGGCCTTCTCAGTGTATGCCCAATCCATCTCCACTTCCTTCCAGTGCATATTTGTTGGGTGATAGATTCTTGGTTGGTTCGTTCCCAGAGCTCCTTGTTGCTTATTCTTATTACTCTGGCCATCTGATCTTCAGTGGCGAGCGTAAGCAGTTGTTGATGAATGTCTGTAGTTTATCTTATCACTATGTAACGGAACAATATTTTCAGCTAGCATAACTCATCAGGTGTTGTAATATGTAAGTCTCATCACCAGGTCAAGCTATCAGTTATCAGCTGCGTATTCATATACATGTCTATTTCTTTATTTACTTTCCATGGCATTATTTGGAGTTCAAGCTCAAATCGATTAACCCTGGTGCATAATCATGCAAAAGGGAGTGAACCATACCTACTGTGTGAGGGCTAATGATACTACCTGGCAGTCTAAACCTCGGGAGATGGAGCGCTGTTCGAACCTGCAACTTACATGCATATCAATACGATTATCTGATTGGTTCTGGAAGCATTCGGCGATCTCCTGCTTCCTCAAGGATAACTAAGTGAGTGAATATTAACAAGCTGTTTATAATGTATCCAGTTCGCTCATCCAGTCTAGTGTATGGTAGTTCCAGAATGTCAGTATTTTCACTTACTCAAGTTATATAAACAACATGAATATAAACAAACAAAACAGTGGAACTTGATAACACCAGTAAACGTTAACATACAGAATGACAAGATTGTTGCTTTTACAGATCTAGTTAAGTTTCAGAATCCTAAACATTATATATTAACTCAACAGCTGGATAGTAAAGCACACGTAGCAAGATCTAACAATGTTCAATTCTAGACTGTATGAGATTCACAATATGCACCACTGAGAAGTTCCAAACCAGGAGGAAACAGATACCCAGTGCTTGCTGTTCTAAGTAGCTATCCATCTGAGATTAGTCTGCAATTAGAAAACCCATTCAGAATTTTTTTTAAAGGGAAAACTAAAAAACAATTTCACGTATCTCTGTTCTCTTTGTTCTAATGACTTCAACATTCTTATTTTCATCTCTGTAGCCTCCCTCTCCATGTGCTGACATAAGGTGTGGTAAATAAAACTGATAAGTAATTATATTACATAGTCTGTTATATCACGATCTACCTATTTCCAGATAGTACTAAATTTACTAACTATTCTCAGTCGAATAGGCAGTGTATATTTTGTAAAGTATTCACTAGCATGCAAACATGAGAGCAAATCTATCAGATTTATCGAACAGCAAGTACCAAAATCAAATGCAAAAGAATTATCATTACTAACTGGTGGACCAATCTTAAGCCTATTAAAGAATTATTAATAGCGTACAAAAAAAAGGGGGAAGAGAGATCTAATGATAATCAAGCATTAAAAAAAGTAAAACTGATTCAATGAAGTTTTCCAAGTCGATAAAAAATTTGGAAGTGGAATTGAAAGATACTGAACTATCCTACTATGATGGTGGAATGACAAGAAAATAACAAATAATCCTTACTAGAAGTCCATTAGCATAACATTTGAGTCTTATTGGTAAATTTTCCCCTTCTAAATGACGACAAGCACGGAGTAAATCATCCGGAGAAATTAAATCCATGCCTCGTGCACGATTAATTCGACAATAAGCAGTGGCTAAATCAATGCAACCAGTATGTAGGTGATCAGTTGGATGATTTGACCTTTGACCTTTGAGTACTGGAAAAAGTAGATTCGATAATTGATGAGCTAATTGAACATAAAAGGTAGTACTGCTGGAAGATGATGCTGATGATGACGATCCTTTATCATAGTTAATCCCTTCACTATCCATAACTCCCATAGAAAGCATAGTTGAGCGTAATTCAGCGATTTCATTAGCAGTTAAATCGCTATTCTGTACAAAAGAATAAAAAACAATAGTAATAATTTAATTAAAGAAATAATAATCAAATTATGATAGCCAAAGATGACATAAAAATGAACTTAAGAAAAAAAAATTAAAACATAAATCCATCAACCAGGTAAGTGAAATATATACAAACTTCAAGTCTAAAAACTATTCTGAAAATAAAAATCTGGTCACCACTCTATTTCTTATTTCACAATCGTAAGCCAATAATGATTCATAACCCAAGTTACGAGTCACACTTTTAGCACAAAAGTGGAAAGCAACATTTATCTATTCAAAAGGATTTAAATAGAATTAAGACTAAGAATTCAGAAATCATTAAATCATGGTTTGTAAATTTAGTGTTTAAACCCACCTAGTTCACAGCTATATATCTCAGAAACATGGATGTCTAAAAAAATTGCTACCAACGATGATATTCCTCATATGATCCTTAAAGGAGGTGCACAGATATACTACCAGGAGAAAGATTTTTTGGTATCATTAGGTGACAGTGAACAAAACATTCAAACATCAGTTAACCAGTCAGTAATCAGTACTTATCGAGAATGAGCAAAGTACATGCATAAGACTGATAGGAGCCTGTACTTGTACTCACTCTTGGTGCATATCTGAGTGACTGCGCGACTGCTGACGGTGGTATGACTGATGAGATTTGTAATCGTATATCAAAGGACAGGGTTGGATACGTAAATCCGGGTCAACTTAAACACTGTTGTGATATCAGCCTAGTTGTAAAAGATAAAAAGTAAAACCGATCACTGCTGGCAGTTCTGTAGTGTGTTTGTGAAGTCTGAACTATTCCGACTAGAGATATTCAACAACTTTGAATATTCGATTACCGCTCTTTCCGAAGAATCGCCCACATGTAAAGAGAACAGTATGTAAGTAGTTCTTAGGCGTAAAACTCGACGTTTAGACGTGAAAGATATAGTCACTTCTTTGGCGAGCAGTACTGTCTTCAATTAGTTCTCATCAGGATGAAATGTGTAGGTAATCAAAACCTAAGCAAATAAACATGTGTGCGAAAGGGATGAAGAAAAGAAAGAGGATGAAAATTGGATTTATCTCAGAAGTCATTTAAGTTTTCTCTGACTTAGAGATGAAGACTAAGCAAACTTTTTCTGCACACAAAGACTAAGTTTGTTTTCCCTAATTTCCATAGCCTCAGCTATATGTAATATGTGAATGTGAATTTCATTCAAAAAATTTTGTGGAATGCGATCGGTGATTTTGAATGCGTTGATCTTACCTATTACTTGATCACTATCGACCAAATGCGACAGAATTGAACTTCATATTGACTTCACTTGTCCCCTTCCTAGCCATAACGGTAGGGACTCAGCAACATATTTGTTAAGCTGCCTAGTTGTGTGCACATTATGGCTTTCTCCACAGAAGCAGCTAAATTGATAAGTGCGCAGAAAAGTGGCAGAACTAGGGAGCTTTTCTTTTATCTGAGCAACAATTATCGGTCAACTAGGAAATGATAACCAAAGAGGTTAGCAGTATAGAAAGTTCTTCTGATGGCTATGGAAAGCCCCTGGAATAGAACTTCACCAGGTGCGTCCCCTTAGATTGGAGGTTCATGAATATTGATTTCTTGTCAAGTCATTTGTTCAGATTTCTCATTCATTTTATCCATGTACCTACTGATAAAACTATGGGGTAACCCATTCTTACCAGCACATTATGAATGCATTCTAACTCATTTTGTATTAAATCATCGAAGAAGATCCTTTTAGCACTGCTTGTAAGACATTCGCAATGGTTTCCATGACGTCCAGTATTTTCGAGATCTGGGACTCGTTAGAAAAAGTGGGGAGAAGGTCACTGTATGACGTGCTGTCATGAATTTGTACCTGCCGATACTTCGAAACTCCCTTTGGTGATATCCAAGAGATCATAACGAGTCGGAAGCTTAATATCATGTCAGATATGACAACTAAGGGAAACTAGTTGTTTTAGTCTTTTTATATGTTCAATTCGTGGAAAGTAGCACTCATGAAATGAAAGCTTTTTCCAACGTATCCTATGGAACTAACCGTCTAATTATTCTTTTCCTCGTAACTTGTCCTACCTCTTATAGTTTTTAGACATTATAGTGTTGTTATTATACGATATGTAGTGTATTTCGTTGGCATCAATATTGTACTGAGTTTGTGTTAAGAAAATGAAAAGAGTAAAGAGTAAGTCTTTCTCTAATTCAAACTTAAACGAGATTTTAAAAAACTTAAATTGGTTTACAATATCGCATAAAATTAACGATTCAAATGAATCAGTCTGCTGATCTCAACGCTTGGACAATAACGTTTGTGAAAATGCAGTAAAAGTAAAATATTCTGTCTGATCTAGAAACAGGAATACAACCGGCCAAATACCCTAACCTTAAGAGATCTGTGCATATTCGAGAAACTTTATAATGAGGGTCATTACAACGAATACTGAATTGCACTGGTGTACAAACAATATGCTTCTGTAACAATGTAATGCAATAAAGAATCTGAAGCATATGACCAATACACTGATTCGTCATCGGACAGCAGCCAACCTCGTGTTATCTAGCCCTAAGTGTCGACAGAATTCTATTGATCATTTTTCAATGTGATAATCAAGCTAGGAAACTCACTATCGCAGTGTACTTCGACTGATGCTAGTTGGTTAGAAGTAATCATCAGGAAATACTGTACCTACGTTGCGCTCAAGTGACCAATCAATATACCTAACCCAACCCTACAAGAAGTAAATCATAACCCAAGCAGCCCAGTGGCAATGTCCATGACTCCAACACTAAGTGATGCGGGTCTGGATTTCTGGGGAGATATCAGTTCCCTTGCGTTTTCAGATATACCCTGCTGACGAATGCCAACAAGCACAAAACCCAGATACAAGGTTTCCCGCTGATTACTTCTTACCAACTAACATCCAAGCAATACATGCTATGCAGTAAACACACAATAACATAAATACTCATCAAAAGGAATCCATTTTGTTACTTCATGAATTTTATCAACAACCAATCCCATTTCAATGTCACATAAACAAAAATGACAAATCTTGTGAGCACTGATTAAGGACAATTCAACAAGTGACCGAAAACGTTCACGACATAAACTGTATAAATTCGTTTAACGCGATATAAGAGTAGTCATAAGTTTTCTTGAAGCGTACAATGCAATATACTAAACACTGGCTAGTCAGTCCTCTTTGACGGAAATGAAAATGGAATATGGCTGTTAAAAGAACAAGTACAGGGTCAAACTTACGACTCCTCAATAAAAATATGAGCATATTCCGTTTGGTAAACTTAAAAGATGCAATTCCTTAAGAGATTTCTTATCCTTAGTCCAAAGAACTCTCAGCTTGAACTAGTTCCACAATACTGTACCTAAAAATACAACGTGAGCTAGTAAAAATGTTTTAACCCTTTCCATAGAAATGACTGACCTTGATGTGATTGATATGCTTCGAACTACACTATTATTATTATCATTTTTCCCCTGGGTTCCTAGTCGAACATACGGCTTCAGTAGCACGCCTCCATTGCACTCTCTTCTCTATTATTCTGGCCATCTGATCCCCATCTTCAGTATCGAGTGAGCGTAGGCGGCAATTGTTCATGAATGTCTGTAGTTTATTAGAAATCCCTTTCGTAACGCGCCAAGTTTCTAAACCTCATAGAAGCACTGACTTGACGTTAGTGTTGAAAATCCGGATCTTGTTCTTTGTGCTGAGTGCAGTAGATTTCCACACAGATTATTTCAGATCAATGCAGGAAGGCCTGTCTCGCTATCTTTCTGATCCTGGCTTTGACGTCCACAACTGTGCCACCTGTAGTTCAAACGATGCTGCACTGTCTAGGTAGGTGGGCGAAAGAGACTACTTCCTTTAAGTTTCCCCCGTTGATAGTGATTCGTGGTTGTTATTGTTGTTCGTTGGGTATCTTCACCACCTCCGTCTTCTCCACGTTCACTTGAAGTACCGTCTTCGTTGCCTCGCTTCTTCTGTCAACTTATTAGTTTTCGCCTGTACATCTTCGAGTTTGTGCGACATCAGACATAAATCACCATCGTTGGCGAAATCCAAATCTTCTCCTAGGGTCTTCTCATCGGTCCAGCCAGCATATGCCCCTCTTCTCGCTCCTCACAGTTGTCTGTGGCATGATCCAGTCCAGTCGACCACAATCAGGAAGATCATCGGTGATGATAGTAGGCGGTGGCCTTGTCTTACTCCTGTCCCATGTCTTCACTTCAAACGCGTCACCGAGCTTTCTGTTATAGATCACTTGGCATGTGGCGTCGTCATATAGCTGTTGAATGAAGTTGATAACGATTTGTGGCACTAGAACCGTAGTGTTGAAGCAGCTGCCTGCCAAATGACTTCTCGGTCGACGCCTTCATCCAATGCCTTTTCAAAGTGGATGAAGTTGAGGTAGAGTTGAGTTGACTACCATTCTATACTCTCTTCTATGATGATGAGGCATAGCGTAGTGTCGCAATTTGATCCGTACCTGATTTGTTCTTCTTGAAGCCAGCCAGCCAGCCAGCCTGTTGTGGTGGTAATTTTCAATGCATAGCATCGTTTAGTCTCTCCAGGATGATGCGGCTTAATATTTTGCTTGCTTGGTGTGGACAGGAGTGTGATTCCTCGCCAGTTCTTGCAAAGGCTTAGGTCTCCCTTCTTTGAGAGTTTGGCAAGGTAGCCTTTCTAACAATCTCCAGGTACCTTACCTTCCTTCCAAACCTTCTGCAGTAATGGTGGTTCATACATAGCGCGGACATCCCATGTCCCCACGTTTACTTTCGTTTTCATCGAGAGAAGGCACATCGTCCGACTGACTTCCTGAAGGCTTTCACCAACCACAGTCATTTCGTCTCTCCGATTCCAGTGATGAATAAGTTTGTTTTTCCGTTCTATATTTTGTTTGTGCTTTGAAGTTTCTTTAGCGGTTGGATTGGCTTTACGGGGTAGGGTTGCTAGACCTATGCCCAACCTTCCCTCTTTACCCGGGCTTAGGACCAGTTAGTAACTAGTGAACTAGATAACATCTCTAAAATAATCGGTCAGTTGAATGATGTAGCCAGTTTACAATAAGAATTACTATCACCAAAATTTAGTTAAACCCAAAAAGATAACTGTATTGGCTAAATTACTACATAGTGAAATTGCAAAATGCAAATGGGATCTCTATTCGACCTTGATGAATGTTGTTAACACTGGCTTAACCAAGTCTTATGCAAAACTATAGAGTAAAACAACTGGGCTTATAAGCATAAAATTTGTATTAAGCTCATCTTATAATCAAAAACAAGATATTCAGTGAAGAGGACTCTTTTCAACAAATTTATTCTCAAGCTTTACATTCGTATATATATGATATTTAAAGACTGTAATCCGTGAGGAAGATTTAACTTAAATAATGGGGAGTTGAAACAATAAACGATTTAAAATTTTACATAACCCTTTCTGTTACCACTTGACCTTTACGTCATCAACTAGCAACATTATAATTATGACCACCAGTATTACTGGTTCAACCCCTCATTATTTAAGTTAAATCCTCCTCACAGATTACAGTCTTTAAATATCACATATATATATATATATATATATATATATATATATATATATATATATATATATATATATATATATATATACGAATGTACAGCTTGAGAATAAATTTGTTGAAAAGAGTCCTCTTCACTGAACATTTTATAATCAACAAAATCACATTTAAATTCGTTAAGGATATACTTAAATTAGTGAAATAGAACAAATAAAGATATTAGGTTTACTCCTAAGTTAGTAAGATCATAAATCAAGTGGAATTCAGCAACTCATATAGGTTTTTTTTTAACAAGTCATGAGTCACAACAACTCTAAGCGCGACTTACGATAAAACTCAGGTGACCAGGTGCAATTAGATGAAGTGAGTTTGAACCTGTAACACAACAGTGGGTAATTGGATCTTTCGAATACACACAGAAATGGTTTCGTAATGCAATAAAGAGATTTGTCTGGGATTGAAAGCATGAATTTACCCTAAACCTTCATAGCTGAAGATGCTTCGCCTTAACATCAACCCAAATAAAGTCTAAAAAATGTATTTAAAATGGAAACATACTTTACAATCTCGAATCTTTCTAGCCAATACCCGACTTAACTTGACCATTTCGCTTGCATTGGTCATGAGTCTATTCAGATCTTCAAACGTCTCAGCGATACTACGATCAGTCTCAACAGCTCGTGCAGCTTGTTGTCTTTGAATTGCCCCAATACCTCCCGTTCCAAATGATTTAGCAGCAGACTTGGAATCCGAGTTGGGAGACAATGTCCACAGTTTGACCTAAATTATGAAGAATGGCATATATACCACTTTAGTCTGTTTATTATATATATCATACAGTGAAACAGTAGCATCTACTGGATAACGTTTCGGACATAATTTATTGTCCATATTCATATCAGGTAACTCTAAAATGGAATTACACTCGACCACAGTGCCCAAGTTTTACACTTATATTAATGGCATATATACTTCGTTTAAATAAACGACTGAAAGTTAAACGCCATAGTTTCTGTAGTGTAAACAACATGCATCAGATCTACTCGATATGTATACAATGATGTAAATTCGAACAGATGCGATCGGTAAATTCTGAATAAAAAGTAGTAAGCGGAGTGGATTTTACCTTATAAAAACAAACATTTCAAGATTTTTATAATGGAAGCCCGTAAAGGTTTCCACCACACTGAAATCAACCTTCAACTGCATCACCCAAAGTTACCAAACAATTAGAGATTCTACTCTTCCATAAATTATGCACACCCATAGTCAAGAACCTCATGAAGGAATACAATCTGCGGCTTTGTCACCTTCAGCATTTTATTGATTAGATTGTACTCTAGAGAGCAAGATACATAAGAGTAAACAATGATTCAGAATGAGCAACACATATAACTAACACTTAAGTTGATGGAATTTTACAACTTCAACAAATAATTCGTCTATTTCACCTACTCTTTAAACAACTTATTAAAATACTGAAGTATTTTTATTCCACTTATGAGAAAATTAAATACGTGAATACATACATGATGTGCTAAGAACCAAAAGAGGTAGTAAAAAAAACTCACCTACTAATGATCTATAAATACCAGTTAGCATGAAAGAAATGATGTTTAACGGCAAAAAGTAACATGAAACCCCATCACAATAGTGAAACGATTCCAGTTACCATATTACTTAAGTCGACAGTTAACAGAAGGAAAATAAACAAATGATTTCCTGCTGACTACCTTTCAACAACGAACACATTAAAACTAATTAAAATAATTTCATATGTATACATACTGATTTTTGACACAAAGCTTCCGCTGACGAACGTTTCAATACTATGCTAGGAATCATTATCCGTGCAAATCTTAGATCGAGGCAACGTACAGTTTCTCAATCTATCAGATCAGTACAACATTCACCGTTCATGTAAACAAAACAACCAGCCAACCAACCCCAGCAAAGTAATCACTGAACTTCATTCAAACTAGGCAGCCCGACCAATCGCGTAATTCTAAAGATTTTCATGATGTAGAGTCGGAAACTAACGAACATACATGCAGGTTGACCAAGTAGTAATAAACACTTTTGTGCAATCAAATCTAATCTTCTATACAATGTAAAATAGTGATATCTAGTAAGACGCTGAAACGTTTGCTAACCACAACTCCACCTCCGAAGTAAACATCATCTGAGTACTTAAATGTCTCTCCGGAGCTACATGTAGTACAAAGTGACTGAATTATTGATTGATGTGATGGAATTTCATCAGTTACCAATGCATCAAATTATAATCTGACGAATAAATAAATCAGCAACTACTTTTGCTACAATATCATCCGAAAATACAGTTCAGTATTTCATTCACTCCTAAGACTTCAGCTTTGAAAAGATTTGCATAAAGCTATTACAATTTGAACTAGTCACTCGTCACCTGTTGTAAGTGTTTGCTGAATAAATCTAACTTGATGTAGTCTACTTTTAAAGTGGTAATTTTCACTTTATCTAAGTCAAAAATGTAAATGCATTGAGCAAACTTGTACACATTCGTACAGTAGGCAATGAGCTACACATTGTACGAAGCATAATCACCATCAATATCAACATAGGACCAAGCCATAATGTGTAACGGTCCAAGTTGTTACACCTTACATCAGTACATCAAGTAACAAAGTAATAGGATATAAAATTAAGAAAAGAAAGTCGATCAAAAGCAGGACAAAGTGGCCAAGAAGAAAAAGGAGGATAGAGAAAATGCTGAATTCAGTATGGTAGTTAAGATGAAGATAATGTGTGGATACATCTGCACCAATGACATCGATTATGAGCCATATCATCTAGAGTAGCCAAACATTGGTTTATTTTGTCACCTGACCCTCAACTGGCTAGTCAACCTCTCCCTACATGGTCCAAATCAACAAGTAAAGAGTTCATGCAATAGTGCCATGTCTTATTCTGGTCCCCCTGAGACATTTCCCCAACCTGAATCTAATTCAGCTAACACTACACGACGAGGAAGACAATGATTAGGCATGCGTAACACATATCCAAACCACCTCAGTCAATGAACCTTCACAATCTCACCAACCGATTCCCCTCTTCTGCTCAAAAACCTACACCTGACCTCGACATTACATTACTCACCTAATCACACCACAACACAACCTCTATACTATCAAGGAAACGCTTCAAAAACACATCAAACCTTCTCATCACATCTCATTGAAAATTAGATGGCCATATTTCACAGAGACAACCAAAACACAGAACACACGACTCTCAATACAAAATCACATATCACGGTGGCACAACAAATGTCACAAGTTGGAGAAAGCAATGCAACCCTATTGGGTCCCTCCAGAGATTTCGTCGGACACCGACCCACCACTACACTTCATTCGACTTCTCAGCTAACTCAAGCATTCAACGCACTCAACCACTTCACTCCCTATTGTTAACCATGACACCACTAAGGACCAGTCATGGAGCAACAATTTGCATTTGGGTGATGAGAAACTCATCTCAAACATTCTCAAATTATCACTCAATGTGTCCAGAAAACTCTGCATCTTGTCATTCTCCTCACCTTACAGGACTACATTATCTGCGTACTCCAGTCCCATCAAGGGTTCTCCTGTGATTAGATCACACCCAGTGAGGGCTAATGATACTATGTGGCTTTCCAGAGATAGGTAGGTGGTCAGAGTTCAAACCCATGGCCTGCTGACATAGTAGAGTCCCTAGACAAGTTAGCCACAGCTCAACTTTGATTTGTTATGAATTCCATTTACACCCCCTCTATAAACAGAATTCAACTATGAATCTGGGATTATAGGATTGTACATCCTTCAACCTAGCAAATCTACGAAGCAAGTAGCAATCTTTATTCTGAGTTACCGACCTAACTTATAATTGCTGACTGATTTCCAATATAAGAGATTTAAGTACGTCAATATACAGTGGTCTGAACGAACTGCTTAGTTAAATAAAGTGAACTGCCTTTGTTATACGATAAAAGAAAAAACAGCGAAAATTCGAAACGAAATTTCCGAAGGTGATCATCACTCATCATTCAGGTGATGTAGCCACAATCTTAAACAGAAAGTAGAAAATAAATAAATAATACTTTAAAATATGTATGTTTACCTGTAGGACTTCGTTTAAGGATCGCAAAAATTCATGATGTCCAGCTCTAGGAAAACCCAGTTTGATATAGTCTTCTTTCGAATGGCTTACAACAGCAGTTGCGCTGAAGTTCATATTATCAGTGCTTTCGCACCACTGTTCAATCCACTGTGGAGGATTTGGCAAACTTGTCAATGCATTTTGTAGAGCAGCTAAGGTTAATAAGCGTAAAATGAGTTTTGGTGTACGATTGATTGTTAGACCACCACCTTCTTCAACTTTTATAGAAATAATAGCAGCCAAAGGGAGAGCTATAAATGCGCTTCCAGGCCGTAAAGGATCAAACCACAATAAACGATGTGTTGTTAATTTAAGAACACCACCATCGAAGGCACTTCTGTTTGGTCCATCATACAAACGAACACTAGTTTGCTGAAGTACTATTGTTTCTTCAATTAAATTTTCCAATCTTGTTGATCCATAATTCTCAACGTCATCTGAGCACCAACGGAAACGGTCCATAAATCACATAGATGATGATGAATGACACCGTAGCTGTCAAAACTGTAAATGCTAGGAATTAAAATTACGTCATTAACATCAACTAATATGGTAAACAACATGATGAGGGAATATTACTTTGTACAATCAAAACTCTAGTAGAAAACAGAAAGGAAAAAAATAGATTGGTTACAAGCTTTGATTCACTGTAACCATTCCTTATGCACAAAAAAAGCGATGACTATCATACTCGTTAAAAATAAATTGTCTATCACTCTGAAAAAGCGATACGTATTTTCGCGAAGGTCTAACGTTAGTCAGAAATCTTACCGAAGTCACCGATGTGAAGAATTTGAGTGGAGAGCCCAGGGTATAAGAAGCCGCAGTTCCCTGACTCATATACCACACTTAAAAGCAAAAAACCAAGAGTTCGAGAAATGATGAAGAATATCTGTAGCTCAGGAGGATAATTTTGATGGTGTTGTGTTCTCTAACCTGGATTGTTTAATCGTGAACCTTGCGTTTTCATTCTAGACATCATTATCAATACAAACTTAGGAAAGTGAGCGACAAGGAGAAAACCTCACCGCTCACTTCTTCCTGAAGTTTGTGTTGACGATGTTGTCTAGGATGAAAACGCAAGGTTCACGATTAAACAATCCAGCTCAGAGAACATAACACCATCAAAAAGTTCGACAGATACTCTAACTACAGAGAATTAAGTAGTTAGGTAATATTATCACAACAGGTGTGGTTCATAGCCAACAATATGAACACGCACGTAGTTGATAAGTTGCATTATTACAGTTGTTTTGCACTTTTGGTACATAAAAGGTCACGTTTGACAGTCAAAGAATTGTATATGGCTATGACAGTTAGAACTTATTACCGTATGAACAATAATAAGGATTTTATCTCCACTGGTTCTAAGTCTTTTTTGAGCCTTCATTGACAGACGGTAATGTAAAAAAACACTGAAAAAAGTTGCAGAAAGTTAATCACAAAAGAAACTACTAACAGCGACCCATACGCTGTTGAGTACATAAAATCGGCCAAAAAGTTCTTAAGATGAACTCTTACCCGGGAAGAAATAGATGGCATGAACTTTTATCAATTAACACGGCTTGCAGTTGAAATATATACAGAAAACCGCTTACGTCGGCACCCACACACCTCATTTTAATGGATATAGGCCTTAATAAATATCAGAAATGCCAACCGAGTGATGAGTTCTAATTTTTAGTAACACACTACTTCATGGGGAAGCTACATGAAAGCCTTCAAAAGAAATATTTCGTCTAGCTAAAAAAAATGTACTAGACTGCGAACCATACATACCATATGAGGACATACTTCAATATCACGTTTCCCACGTTGAAGTAGGAGGATCTAGATTTGAACCCATGACCTGCTTCTTGAAAGTCAAGCGCCTAGGTCAATGAGTCATATCTCCATCTCTTTTCTTGTCAATGTAACGAAGATGAGACTCATAAAACTTAGCGTAAATGATAATGAAGGCGAGCGCTGAATTCACTTACTCAGATTTAGAAGTAGCAGCAGTGTTAGGTGCTTTTACAATGCTAAGATCTACTGGCTGTATTAGGATAGTGTACTGAATCTCACGGCAACATTTAACCCTAACCTTACAATCACTTTAAATTGAAAAACCATTCCTTAAATTGATTCACAAACGAAGGAAAACCTACTTGCTTTGAATGAAGTACAGTATGGTAACGAAGCTGGAATGGAGACCAACTGAGCAACCTTGTGCACATTCATCCTGTAGGCGATGAGTTACACCTATTGTGTGAGGATTAATGATATTATATGGCTAATTGAACCCATGACCCACCGGTTGGGAACCAACTCCTCAGTCCAGTGAACCACAAAGCAAAAATGTTAGAACTGCATGCTCAATCTACATTGCCACAATAATGAATTATCTGTGAAATTTGTACGTCTATGAACATTTGAGAACGGGAAAATAGCAAAATGTAATCTCCGTCTTTCAGTATTTGGTTCATTGGTAAACATAGCCCGTTGGCTTAATAGAACAAACACTGCCTGTTTGCTGTTACAATCAGGATTGCGCAACCTTAGAAAAAAATTTATCATCGATATGATGGGAAACGATGTATAGATTCAATAACCGTCCACATAATACACCCTAGCTATAAAAGCCATAGTACGTGAGGCATCACTCAATCGCTTTGTTAATATATGGACCTAAAGCATTTAAGACATTAATCAAAGCTGTACTGATTGCGTTACCAGGAAACCACTCTAGGACGTAGACATTTACTTCGTCAACAAACAGCACGAAAATCCAAATCATAAGAAAGTGAAGCAGCCAATATCAAAACTGAAATAAAACTACGAAGTAAACTCGTAATGAACACAGACTATCCAGAAGTGCAATTGCCGAGAACCAGATAGAATTTATCAACGAACTAAAACGTGTCATCCATAACCATCATCATCTACAAACATACAGTTTAACAGGTAAGGTCTTACGTAGACAGACCAAAGTGGAACCCAGCAAGAAAAACAGCAGCATCAGTTTTAGCTACTATACTTCAAAGCAGTACAAAAAGAAGAAATGGACAGAAAAATGATGACACGAAAATATATGACGGTTAACGACAGTATTTCTAACTTCGCTTATCCATGAAATACATATTTTAACGACAAAATTAAAGGGTAAATCTTGTTCTTGAAAAATACTACATTTAATCGCCAAGTATTACGTATGGTATTAACAGTTACATTTACCAATATGACAACTTATCTGCAATGTCATACGCCTAGTATCAATGATATCAAATATACTATTTAATTCATAATGATACAGGTGTTCTCACTACAATAAAGAACTCATCTAGGGATATGTATAACTTTACAAGAAAAACACGAACATCTCATTTAACTTCAGAGAGTTTTTGAAGTGTTTAGCATCTCAGCCCAAATAAACTATCCTCACATCTAAAAGAGGAATAAAATGTGAGCAATGTGGCGGTTGATTGTAATTCCATTTTAGTCTGTTTATTAGAAATGTCACACAATGGAACAGTATCACGACTTTAGTGTCTTTCAACATATACCCATATAATAACTGGATCCCATCTTATTATTAAATCATCATTCTCGATGACAGCACACAGAAATTATGTTTTCTAGTATATCATTCACATAATTCTTGATTTCATGCTTTTTCGCTAGTAACAATTTCTAGAAATGTAATTAATTGGCTTTCTATACAATGAAACACATGTCAATAACACATACATATAGATAATATACAACAAAGCTGTATTAAAATACGAAAGATACTAGCATAGTTGATTACTATATTTGACGAGGGAATAAAAAGAATACAAACAAACTCCAAGTTATGAATGATTAAAAAAGATGAAAACATTCAAAACCGTTATTTTACAAGTTTATTTACATTATCAATCATGAAGGTAGAAATGAAGTCAAAGTGAAAGACAGAAAGCGTAAGGCGACAATGCTCTGAACTTGCAGTATGTAATGACTAGGCGCGTCTCTAGTTTAGCTGGAAATAGCAACAGCTGGTTTATATCGTTCCTTCCGTGCAGAATCTAAATGATACAGCAAAAGAGGTAATATCACCAGTTTAATCCGAATTCCATTCCCAATAATAAAAAAATCACCGAAATGACAAAATACATTACTTTCACAAAATTTAGAAAACTATCCTCAAAAGTTTTCATAAGGGGAAAACCAATTTGATGATATAATTTACACTCTAAGAGGAACCTAAACGTCATTGTTTCACTGTGTGACATTTTTAATAAACACACTAAAATGGAATTACGATCTACCACAGTGCCCAAGTTTGGCTCCTATATTAGTGTCAATGGGACAGTTATTTCATTTATGGATATTAGCGACCGAATGAAACAATTTTCCAGTTAGTAGACAGTAAAACTGAAAACTTAAGAAGCTGAGACGACAGTGTGTTGCTCTAAGTTGCTGACGTACAACAAACCACTGAAGTCTCAGGGTAATATGTATTATCGATCCTTACAGCTTGTTGAAAAGTGGTTAAACATTTAATCTCTATTCTTTCCTGCTACAAGCAAACTGGAATATTAGCCATATCAATGACTTAATACTATCATGTTAGATCAGATCAATAGACGCTGATATGAAAATACGAACACTATCAGTGTTTGTGAACAAGCAAACCTTATTTATATATGCATGGACGAACAGCGGCCGAAAAGAAACATGAAGATAACAACCGACAGAACGTGCTGTGTACCGAATGCAACAGAACTACGCTGAGCTTTTGAAAAGATCCCGAAGAGAATCCTGACAATAGACAAATAGACTACATAGCATAATTACTTTACCGAGAATCTCTACTGGCTTACAAAACCTGGAACAGAGGTGACATTTCTATAACGATGCCTATAGAAAATTATGCAAAAGAGATGCTACCCAGAACTGATGTTTATCTTCCAGCTTATGCAGTACTGAACATCAGCCGTTTCATATGACAGTGAGTCAAAAGCCTACACTATAGATCTCAATAATTTTGAATACAATCGTAAAAAGGAAGTCATTAAGTTTCTCCATAACATTGTTTTAACATGCGGATGAAAGAAGTATATGCTACGTAATTTATGTTGACCATCCAGACTTTTAAGTCTGATTTTTATTTGTTTCAAACAAAAACTTGGTGCAACAAGCACTACAGTTTTTACAATATATGCAAACAATACGATGTACTATTAGTAGTTGAAGCCAGTTGCTTTGGTACTGTAGAAAATTGTTCTCAGAAAGGTAGAGAAATTTATTACATAGACAAAATGACAAGACCAAGTAAGAATACCGAAGATAAACATTCGAAATCGACATTCTTGCATTTATGACACAGTTCACTTCCGCATTTCAAAAAACTTTCTATACCCAAATACAGTATACTGTCAAGGGGAGCTGTGGCTCATTGGTTTAGGCGGTTGACTTCCAACCATCTACCGATGATTGGGCAGCCAGGTAGCATCATTAGTCCTAAAATAATAGGTGTAGCCCATTGTCTACTGTACGAATGTGCATAAGGTTGCTGAGTGCATTTCGATTTGATTCAACATTCTCAAAGTGATTTACTAGTAACTGCACTTGTATCACTGCAAGCGCTTGCACTGAAGGTGCGAGTGACAGTCAATTAGTAGCTTCAGAATAATATACCGAGAGTAAAGCTGGTGGCTAAGGTTCCATGAATATAAACAATGTGAGTTTCTACGCAAAAAATATCCACTAGTTTGTTACTCTTAGAATTGGGAGTTATAGCTAAACCACTCCAATCCCAAAAACCCTAACAGATTTTTAGAATTCAAAGCAAAGAGCATAACGACGTATGGGTGTATGGTTGGTTCGAATGAACAATAATCTTATACAGTGCATCACGGACAGAGACAGAAAGTATCAACACAGAAACCGAGAATGCTGGTTAGCGATCCAAATTGTCACACCTCATATCAGCACATCCAACGAGAATGCACTGAGATAAAAGATAAGAAACAAAGAAGACAGTCAAAAATGGTTGAGAACCATCTGTAGAGAACAAGGAGGGAGGAAATAATACCGAAATTTAGAATGGTTGTTATAATGTGTGGATACATCTGCACCAATGACATCGATTATGAGCCATATCATCTAGAGTAGGCAACCACCGGTTTTTGTTGTCGCCCGGAACCCAACCTAGAAGCCCACATTAACAATCGAAGACTTCAGGAAATGATTCCCTGTTTCGCTCCATCCTTATCTATCCTTTTTTCAGCCTGAACTCAATTCAGCTAACACTACACGACGAGGAAGACAATGATTAGGCATGCGTAACACATATCCAAACCACCTCAGTCAATGAACCTTCACAATCTCACCAACCGATTCCCCTCTTCTGCTCAAAAACCTACACCTGACCTCGACATTACATTACTCACCTAATCACACCACAACACAACCTCTATACTATCAAGGAAACGCTTCAAAAACACATCAAACCTTCTCATCACATCTCATTGAAAATTAGATGGCCATATTTCACAGAGACAACCAAAACACAGAACACACGACTCTCAATACAAAATCACATATCACGGTGGCACAACAAATGTCACAAGTTGGAGAAAGCAATGCAACCCTATTGGGTCCCTCCAGAGATTTCGTCGGACACCGACCCACCACTACACTTCATTCGACTTCTCAGCTAACTCAAGCATTCAACGCACTCAACCACTTCACTCCCTATTGTTAACCATGACACCACTAAGGACCAGTCATGGAGCAACAATTTGCATTTGGGTGATGAGAAACTCATCTCAAACATTCTCAAATTATCACTCAATGTGTCCAGAAAACTCTGCATCTTGTCATTCTCCTCACCTTACCTTAAATCTACTAAGGATTCCCCATGACAAGATCAGTCCCTGCGAATTCATACGAAAATGGAGACCTCTATAATCCGCGAACGTAGTACCTGGACACTCTCCGTACTAGTTCATCTGGCACTGTCGCTCTTTCTCGCTTAAGACTACCTACAGTTTTCTCGACTTCTGCAAGTGTTGGGGGCCCTATCTCAGTGTTCCATTCAGATTCCGACTGGATGGCAGGCAATGGAATGGTAGTCGGAGACCAGTTGAACTATTGCTCGAGTTGTTTTGTTCGTCGCTCTCGGCAAGTGAACCGAAGACCCACAATTCCTCATTGTATTCTCACCAATCATTGACCTTTGTGCACCAGTTTCCTTGAAAAGCATAAATAGCTGTTTTTTGCTACCTATTCCCGGTACTTTCTGCATCTTGTTAGTCTTCGCTGCCCACCACTATTCACGGTCACTGCGTAGACTTCTTATCAGTCTACATTTCAGTTCCTCCCGCTCCTCACTGTACTCACAGACTTCAGGGATACTTTCATGTACATCCATCAATTTAGAAGCTATTGAGACTCACCGATCCTCTCCAACTACTTTCTGGAAGACAGCTACGAATCTTTATCGCTGTTTTTACAGCAGGTTACAGCAGACGTCAGGCTTCTTCAGGATGAGTGACATTGTCCTGTACTGATAACTGCCTAACCAGTTTCGCACTGTAAGCAGCCTTAGTATTCCCATCGCCAAACAAAACTGGCAATGGTCTTATTGCTGCAGTTTTCCGACGTCCATTTAAGTTCAAACACCCACGTTTTCGAATCAACATCCGACTGTTGTCCAAACACGTGCTCCAGAAGAAAGTAAAATCTTGCTGGAGATGTTAGGTGCCCAAAGATGAACGTTTCATGCCGAATTTTTATAAATTTACCCTACGTTTTTTCTGCACCCTTTTTCGACTCATGTGTATCGTTGATATTTGCAGCTTTTAAGAACGCAATCTCCCTATCGGTTAATCGTCCACTTTTAGTATGTCAATTTGTTTGCTTCTCCCAAAGACCCTCACATTGTATGCAAATACAAGGGATGCATCTCTAGATCCGTACTTTCCAACTGAGGTAAACTCTCTTCAGTTCAATAATGTTTTCTACTTTATGTCACCCAAGCCAGTTGTCGAGTATCGTATCGTTCATCCAGTACCTGAATTACGCGTCCTCAATTAACCGTATTCGAAGCGGCAACAGTGGCGACAGGCTGTTTCGAAATAGATTTTGCAAAACTCGATAGATTTCTTGGTCAGAAAATAAAGACTACCCAATTGATTTCTAACCCAAGACTTACTTCTACTGAGCTATCAAACGCAACTTCCAGTATAACTTCTGTCTTTTGATGGTGTTGTGACTAACATAGCGGGATTTCATTATGATCCAAACGTAAATGTTGCTTTTGATATGTGGTTCAGGAAGTGCATTTCAAATTCGATCTTGCTAACCAGAATGATGCTTTGAAAGCGCGCTTGTTACTCTTAAAACAGGGTTCAGCCAAACTATACCAATATTGTAAAATGATTTGGTCAAAGAATCCAAACTAACGCACATTCAACGCCAAAGTGCAAACAGAGATAACACTCTGGAAATTACTCTTCGCTTTTCAACTCAAGAAAGATCGCTATTTTAAAGTGGCTATGAACGAAAAAGATTCTCTCCTAACGTACCATTAACCGTGAATATGAACGATTCACACTGAAATCTTCAAACGAAGATTAGCTTATATCCCTTGTATTGATAAGCAGTCTGAAACCACCGAAATTCGCTGATATCATAATGCGACTGCGGAATCGTTTAGATCAGGAACCAACGCTAACTCTGAGCAACATATCTGCATAGTATCAGCGTCTAGTAAATCTCTAGCTTGAAATCTCAGTTCAACCAAGACGATAGGGTGGCTCTGAAGTACAAGCCGTTTGCCGAAAGATAAATCATCATAAAACTTGTGATAGAACCCCTTGTGGTTCACCTCTGAATGTGCAAAGCTATTCCACAAACTGATAGCACGCCAAAGACACCAGCCCTATCTTGCTAGCATTGTGGTGCATGGCAATTCATTCGATCTTTCTCTCACAAATAACATAGTTCCCGTCTCATCACCATACCGTGGGTCTTAAAAATGGATATTGCAAGAAGCATTAGAAACGTATACCTCTTCGAAACAGAGGCACAGATAACGCTCCCGATCAGTCGGCAAAACTCTCAGTTTGGTAGTCACCTATTGAGTGCAAACACTTGCTTGAAGAAAATTTATAGGTGTTCATATAAAGTCATCCAGTACGTATACAATTAGATACGGAGTTTGACATTACTAAAATTTAGAAGCAGCTACAGATTGGTATTCAGAGGCCTCCTATCTAGAAAATAATACAGACAGTTGCAACAATGTCATATTTCTTTTCGTGGCGAACGGATGCAGACCTTAATTTCTTCTGTCTCAAGTGCCTCGAAAAACTCGGCCTCACTGACATCCCGCTAAGCCCTCTCACATGTAAATCTCGCAACGGCGCGACGTAGTCTAGCATTTCGCAAAACCCATATTCCTGACCTGGAGGATGTATTCTCACTTAGATCATTCCCGGAGTCTGTTAGCCACTACTCAGGGTTCCTGCGGTCTATGTATACTGTTGGATTGCCGTTAAATCACCTACCTAGTAAAGATGCACACCGAAATTGAACTCAAGAACGTAAAATCACTTTTATGAAATTCAAAGCCATGCCAACATTGGACCCCTTCTGACCTATTATGGTCCCTACCTACCCATCGTTGTTGCCTCTGATGCTTCAGCTCATAAAACCTCCAGAGTCCCACTACATTTTTTCCCTGACGGTGAAGAAAGAACAATTATGCACCCATCTCGAACACTTGTGCCCAGGGAGCGTAAATGCAGCCAAATAGAGACAGAGACTTTAGCTCTTGTCTTTGCTGCATACCACTTCCATAAACCGATTTGTAGTCGACGATTTATCCTCTTGACAGACCACAAACCACTTATTTCCGTTTTCGGGTCAAAGTCCGGCATTCCTGAACATTTAACAAACCGACTAAAACGACAGGTGCAAATACCGCTGGGATATGACTTCAAGATTGTTTACCGTAACACAAAAGAATTCAGCGAGGCAGATGCACTTTAACAGCTAAGTAACTACTTAACATCCGACAAAAACGCCATCATTGCAACAGTATCCACTGAAGAAGATTCAGTTCATGGTCTTACTGCAGCGATTTGAGATCTAGTAATGTCAATTGATGAAAAGCCGCTTTTTCACGTACACGTCTCTAATTAACCGTATCCGAAAATCTCAAAAAACCTTCTACCAACTCCCTCTAATGATAACTGGTAGCAAAGTGGTTTGTTTCCATTCACCTCTGAGTTGAGTTCGGTGGACGCCACGTCAACTGAAATTCGTGCAGACCAGAAATAGATAGTTATTTCAGCAAATTTGAAGCAAGTGATCACCACTATCCATTAGCCGGCCCACTTGTGCATTGAAATCACTTGTTTGACTTTCAGTAGAAGGCTAAACCCCCATTATAGCGTAATAATCTATACTAGAAAGGCAACTGCATTTTTTTTTATCTTACCACTACTCAACTGACCTTTCCGGTATGGCAGGAATTCAAGAAAACAAGTGTTTCACCAGCATTGCTCGTCGGGTCATTGTGATATGCAAGCTAGACCATCAACTCAAGGCAGCAAATTTTCGTCGAGTAGTGGATCACAAATCCCAACGCATTCCACCTACACTGATCTGATTAGTCTAGTAAAGTTGCTGGCCTTTGAATAAAAGGTATGGCTTATAATCCAACAATTCTGCCCGGTCGATGATTTTTTTAGATCCATCATCATTATCAACATAGGGCCAGGCATTACTACGTAACGGTCCGACTGGCCACACCTCATATCACCACATCAAGTAAAAAGGTAGTGAGGTGAAGGATGAAGGTAAGTGAATGCAGTCAAAAGAAATATAAAGTACGAGAAGAAAGGAAAGAGGAGTGACAAAATGGTGAGATTCGGTACAGCGTTGTTAAGATGAGGATAATGTGTGTATACATCTGTGCCACTGACATCGGTTCTCAGCCATATCACCTAGGGTCTCCAACCACTGGTTCCTCTTGTCCCACGGACCCCAACCACCTGGTCTGCATCGTCCTACATGGCTTAAACCAACAGTCAGAGACTTCATACATTGCTGCCATGTTTTAGTCTGGCCACCTCGGGCCTTTTTCCAGCCTGGACCCACCTCAGCCAACATTGTGTGACAAGGCATACGTAGTACGTGTCCCAACCATCTCAGTCGATGAAGGTTCACAACCTCGTCAACTGACTTACCTCTTCTCCCCAAAACTCTACACCTAACTTCTGCATTACTCACATGGTGACACCGCGGAATATGTCCTATACTACGAAGGCAACGGTGGTCAAACACCTGAAGCCTTTTTATATCTTCCACTTTCAATGGCCATGTTTCACAGCCATACAGTAGAACAGAGCGGACTGGGTAGATTCTCAAAACGTATTAACACATTTATTCATGTTACAAGTTTAGACATGGATAATTTCTGAAAGTGTTCTTACTTTAAACAGCCAACTTTTCACTAGAAAACCCCATAATACACACAAAGATGTCCACTCAAATATCCAGTGTCTCACTACTCAAAAAGTCAAAGTTTCTACACCACACAGATACACTCAAACACATTTATATTATACATTCGTACTTTATTTAAACGACAGGACAATAGGTTGGGATTTAATTTTGTCTGCTGTATGAAATGTGCATGAAAAAGATATCGACTTTCACTTCTAAGATGAATTTCTCGATCATTATATAAGCCTGAGTGATATTAACGTAATAAATATTTAATTTGTTCTAAAAACAGACAATAACTCATTATGTGGTTGTTATTTTTGTTAATGTTTGTTTTAAATGATGTTCATAATATTTTGTGTGCTGTAACTTAGCCTTATTCCACTAATTGATACTCATTATTTCTTCAAATGTTCAGAGTAACTACAAACCTTCAAGATATGAATATGTGTAGCTATCTTTCCCACTAAACATTTTCAGTTAGAAGGTTGTCTCGAACCTGAAATGATGCACAGCTGTAGGACCTGAGGGTTTACCACTAGTTGTTAGAGGAGATATGAAACCAGTGAATACATTAACGGAGGTAGTAGATAGCGTATGAAAATTAGAAGTAATCACTCAACCAGTCAGTTAGTCAATGTCAACATGGACAACAAGGAAAATAAGTCAATCAGTGAGGTTGTGAACATTTGCCAAATGAGATGCCTTGCATACGGCGAGCAAACACCTGCCTCATCGGGTAGAATTAGACGTAGTACCAGTTCATGAAGCCGCTGACTGTTGGCCTGAACAGAGTAAGGTGTAGACCAAGTGGTTCAGGTTTTCGACAAGACAGGAATCAGTGGTTGGAGAATCTTGGTAAAGTGACTGAAAATCGGTCACAAGGGTGTAGATATATCTACTCTTTGACATCTAAAGTCACACGTTTTCACTAAGCTTCATTTTCTAAGTCCTTTTCCTCCCATACACTTTTGTCTACTTTGATATCCTTTTTTTGACCCATGTGCCCTTCACATACTACTGTGAAGTGTGACAACCTAAACCATACCTTTGTGCGAGGTTCCGCGTTGATTTTGTTTATTTGTCTATCTGATTTCCGCCCGAAAGTCCAAACTTCCCCACACGGCTTAACTTAAAACAATGACCTAATTGATCATTTCGTTTGGAAACCCTTCGACTTCTTCTAAACCACATCTACTTTATCCAGTATCATATGGATAAAGATCACGAGATCAAATGCACGCAGTTCCATAAATAAACTGCGTGGCATACCTTTTGACTTCTCTTCCATAGCCTGATCTCTTATAGGGTGCTGTGGTACATCCGGCAGGTGTAAAACTTGGTCCTCCAGTAGGTGAGCTAAATCACGTTCAATATCACCATAGTCCTCAGAGGATAGACCACCTGATACAATATCGTTTAGCTCCTGAAATGGAAAAATAATGTTTACAAATTATAAAAAAAAAATAATATCTGAAATACTACACGAAAATCGTATTCATAAAAACGACAAGTATTCACATTTGAAAACACGTTTACCAGGCGAAAATCCCGAACAAGATATTAAAAATCGCTATGACGACTAAAAAATAATTAGCTAATTTAATTTCCTGTTGTGTGGCTTCTGAAACCTGATTAAGAATAAGATCGATTTTCTATACAATCGAAATCGTTCTTTTCCTGGCATTGCCTTATTTTCTTTCTGAACGCATGTTAACATTCCCCTGCCATTTCTGAATATCCGTACCATTACTCATACTACCGCTATTGTAATCATCCCAAAGTGCATAATCCCTATCCTAGTTATTGTTGATGAACAAATTAGCCTGATGTTTATTATATATATATATATATATATATATATATATATATATATATATATATATATATACGCATTTTGAAGTCTGACATCCAATTGAAAAGTTATTGATACGTTCACTTTCGCCAGTCAATACTAGATATACATAAACACTGAGTGTGAAGCTGTTACTCGTTGGTTTGTGAGGCTATGGCTCATTGGTCTAGATACTTGATTTGTAACCGATGAGTAGCGCGTTCGAACCGCGCTTTATCCACCGAAGTTTGGGCAGCCGAGTAGTATTATTAGCTTTCACACAATACGTGTGACTCATTACCTACTGCACAAATGTGCATAACGTTGCTGAGTGGATTTCGACTTCTTTTCCCGACTCATCAGTTTAAGCATTCAGCTTTCAAACAATGAGCCCTCAGAATAAGTCTTGCTTCATCTACGCCAACCTGTGCAACTGAGTTGATTGTCTAGTGAACAAATATGTACCAGGTAGATAAGTTTTTATTATTACTTTAACTATGGATTTATATGCTAGGTTTGACAAGATATAGTGAAATCATATGATAATGCTGACGTTGAGTTAAAGGAAATATGATTGTTTAATTCCATTTTGTGACCACATAAATGCTGAATGGCCATACCTTTAAAGCTATGCATATTAGAGAAAGGTCTGAGTGGGAACAATAGTCAGTTTACAAATATTTTTTTATAAACTACACAACAAGTTTTCAATATCAATTACCACCTGTACCTTTAACACACTATGCATACACAACTCACTGGATTACACCACAACTAAAACATAACGAATGACTTACTCGCTGATAATCAACGGCCTCACGAGCATCTGACATTATTTGTTCCGCGTCATCGAGTGACATCACCTTCTGAATATTTCTTAGAGCGTCGTTTCCACGTTTAATTCCACTTAAAACTTCCACTTCTACCTGAGCGAACTCTATGTCACAAACAAGCTGCTCAATATTTGATAGCTGTATTCCAGTCTTCTGTATCAAGTTTTCAAGATACTTTTTCTTCTTGAGAAGCAGCAAAGCCCGTCTGAAAATAGAATACAGGTTTTAGCAGTCGACTACTGGCAAAAGGTTTAAGCCCCTCAGACAGAGAAGTATAGTCATAAATCAACAAAATGTATGACTCAGATACCTGTTCTAGTGTCATCACAAGGGTCAAACGAAGAAACTTACTCTTTTCTACCCGTCTGGCAAGTTCCTTGACGAGAACTATTTCATTTTCAATCTGGCATTCAAGCCTCTTAGTCATTTGGTTTAGTTGATCACGTTGTTGTTTCAGCTGTAGAACGGCTTTATCCTGTTCTGTGATTCTCGACCGATGCTTGTGTCTCGAGAAAATAGAACCCATTCAACTGAAACTGGCTTCTAGTTAATAGATGATTATTAAATAACCATGTAACTCCTGCGGCCTTTGTGCTGAGAAACGCACTGCAAAAGAAAAAAACGAATAGGATTACAATACAAACAGCCAAAGATCTGAGCCATGTAAAATACTTCTCAATATATAGGCTTTGCTGGGCGACATGGACCTCCAGCAGGTTTGTTGATCAAAACCCACGGATCCCAGGAAAGTACCTAGCTACACCAACAGCTATTTAAAATACATTTCAAAAATAAAAATCAATACTTACAAAAGCATAAGTGGCGTTATACGAAAGAAACTGGCTGACTAATTACTTCATACAGACTATTACCTATCCCGTAGAAGCACTTTGAACTTCAATGGTGCACCACACTTATGGACACTGACCGCCTGCTGATTGAGTAGCCTGTAAGCTATCGCGCAGGTGATATCACAGATAAAATCAATATAGAACCTCGCATACAAGTGCACTATTTCAAGTTGCCAGTAATATACAAAAAACAAATGAACAGGAAAGAATGACATCGAAGTAAACAAAGTTGGGTGGGAGGAAAGAGAATTTAAAAATTACGGTTATTCACACAAAAACATTTCTCAATAGTATTTTTAAACGTTCAACATGGCGGATCAGTGGTGGTGACAGCCTACCAAAGTTGTGCTTTGACAACCACCCGTCATCAGTCAGAACCGACTACGAACATTTTTAAAGGCACCTGACTTGATGTGAGACCAACTCAATGCTGGGAGCAGAAAAATCACAAGTATTAACCAGTCACAAGTCGTTATCTCATCTACTTCAGAGCACACTTTTGAACTCACAATAAGCTGTTTTTGAGTAAGTATCGTATGGTTTTGGATACCTTATTCATGGAGTTTTCACTCGATGAATAGCAACTTCTTTCACACCCAAATACGAGCCGTGGCATCTCAGAACTACTTATACGGCGTTTTCTTCGCATGCAAGTAATTTATCGAAGATAACGGTGATAGAACAGTCAGACATCTTCAGACAGAAGAGGCAGAACTGCCATCATGGGTGCAACCAGACCGGCGTCTCAACAACAATGCAAGTGACTAAGATAGAGCAACCAGTAAACCCGTTGATATTTGAGTAGCTACGGTGAAAAACTAGTTAACGCATTCTCCTATCACATTACAGCGGCATTCGTTTAAAACAAAAGTAGGTGGTGACACCATATTTGTACGACTAATAATACGAATCGTTTGTGGATGACCCTTATATTGCTCTTCAGTAGGCATGAGTGATGAATGTGTACGGTTGTATGGGAATTGCATGAAACTAGTTGTCTGACCTACCGCGCGTTCACCGCAGAATAGCGTACATTGAAAATAACCCCGAAAGTTGTCAGAGGTTAACTGAAAGGTGAAAACTCGGTGACTGCGATGCAGGCATAATGCAAGAACACGAACTACCGTTCGAACTTACTAAGAGCTACCGTACTGCCAACATCGAGTAGCATTCATCAGGGATTTTTATGCAGTTGCCATTGATATACTAATGAAGGTCTTCTCTCCTGACCCTACAGAGACTGACGATGCTTCAGACACTAGGCAACTTACAGTGAGGAGGTGATACAATCCTGCTGAATAAAGAGGCAAAGATGTACTCTTCGGGGAAAAAAATGCAGTCCAAACTTATACAGATTGACGCAGAAAACTATGAGGCATAATTGTAATGACACCGAAGCCTAAGTAGATAGGGATTGGGTTTGCACCTCAAAAAGTAAGGCGATGTTAGATGACAAAGACAGGTCATTTGCTGAACTCAGAAGCCTCCAACTACTGAGATGGCTGTGATGTCACAAAAACTCAACCGTAATCTACCCCAGAATGCTATGTTGGCTGGAGTGCAGTTAGGTTGCCAAAAGGTGCCAGACAACAGTCACATTAAAAAGGCAACACCAGTTTACGAACTCTTTTACTGCGGGTTTGGGCATTATAAGGAAAAATAGGTTTGTAGTTTTAGATCCATGAGAGAGTTAGAGCCAATGGTTGTAAACTGTAGATAACATGGTCCAAATTCAGTTGCAAGGATATAGCTTAACGAGTATCATTTTTATTTTCATAGTGGTATCGCATTCGTTTTTGTATCAGTATCCCTCACTCATCGCTGCTTTTCCAGTACTTTTAGTTATCTCTAGCAACTACCTTACAACCGACGGTTCATCACTTCAAACTTCACTCTACCTACCTAAACAAAAGTAACCAGCTTAAGTGAAATTCAAACAGAGAACCAAAATACGAAAAACAGAGAGGAATAGAGCTACATGTTTGAAATCCCCTATATTGTTGTTCATCATAAATGAGGTTCCTTGTTCGTATAGTTACTCCCCACAATAGCCCTATGAAAACTGGCCAATATGTTTCACTAACCCTTACAAGTATAGCGCACTATCGAATAACTGAAGTAGCAAATTTGACATGATAAAGTGTACCAATACACGACAAGTATGTTCTTAAAGCGTATTAAAGTATTCACGTTCGAGGTTAACCTCTTTGAATTCAAAGAAATGTTATAACATTTCTTTACTGCAAGACTTTGCTTCTTTATCATATTTTCTAGTGTTTAACGATAAATGGTACACTTAGGTGCACATGTATTATTACTAGGAAGAAAAAGAGGACATTCTAACTCTAAGGTAATACAAACTGCACCAATATAACGACGAGTATACCACACTTTGGTTGTACCGCAGATGTTCTGAGCCCGCTTGGAATCTGATTTCCAAAACTAAGCACCAAAACCGTCCAATACCTAATATCAGTGGTTTGGGCACAGGAAACTTTTAGTTTATGGACTGTAGTGTCTAGATCATCAGGCTCGGTAAGTGTAATGGACTCTAATTACATGAACTCTTGTATCTGCAGCTTGTGGTTTAGTCCTTTTGTTTAACTGCACTTTTACATTTCGTGCTAATGTCTTCATTTTCTTTGCAACTAATGGCTTCGAAGGTGCACAGTGTATGCCTGTGAAACTCCTCTTTCTTTGGATTGACTTTTTCAGAGGATTTTGGTCCTAGTAGTCAGATAAATTAGGCGTTTCCTATTCCAGTCTGCATAAGTGCGAATGATCGATTATATTATCTCAAACAGGGAGGAATACTTGACTTACTCGGTGCGCCTAACATCAGCAAGGAGGTAAGAATGGCTAGGCCAAGTAAATCCGAAGAAATAGCAGGGCAAGTATATTGGAGATTGTGTAGATAATTAAGTGGAGCAAGAGAATGCTTTTGACTTTGTTTTGAATAAGGCGTGTATAATTATATTTTATTTTTATATATATTTTTTATATATTATTTTGGTTTTTGCATCTGGAATTTGGTAACAGGTGGCAAATAGGTAGGTTCAGTGTCTGTGAGTAGTTAATAGGGTTTATATGATAACTGCGGTCGAGTAGACTCTTTCCTAGATGCTCTAGACAGCCACTCAGGTTTAATCACTTTTTCTTACTGTGCTGGATCGTTCAAAGTCATAGTGCTGGTTACATGTGCATGTTTATTCCGTGTTTGGTAACATCGATGGGGGAGTGACATGATACTTCTTAGGAAGTTGTTCAAGATTTTGGGTCCCTAAATGGCAGCCTTTGCAGCATTCCAAGCCTCCAGTTTTGCAATTCCAGCTCCTGCTGATGTTCTTTTAGTCTGCTGTAGTGGTGGTGTGAGGCTATCGAGAGAAGCAAGTAACAGAAGCTATGGGGCCCAATTTGCAGAATGACTGGACCGCACTCCAGCATTGTGCAAACCACAGTGGATTAAACTTCGACTCTGAGAAGCATAATGGTGGCGCATTCATGGTATAATACATGTCATAAAATCAAACTGAACGCCAGGGAGCGGAAGGCACTTGCGGTAGAGAATGAAACTTAGGGCCCTAGTCCCCGAAGTCCTTCAGGTTTACTCCGACTGCTATGGACAGGCATTCTGTGAAAATCTGGCACACATATGTAGCCTTTGGATGGCTTGATCACGAGCCTTTCCGCCAAATCTTTGGAACTTTCAAATGCTCCTGCCTAAAACTTGAGGCTATCATCTTTCCTCCTACACTACAAAGAGATGAGAGCCATTCCGAATGCATCCAGTGGCGTTGCACTAAATCCCTTCGTGGACCAACGTCCAAACTGTAGGAGGAACACCTGGTAGCACTGAATCTGTTTACGTTCAATAGAACACAATTGACTGAGGCGTGACCTAACAATGGCGCGTAGCATTTTGAACACTTCAGTTTACCCGCTTCACTATTTGCTTGAGCCCGGGTCCAATACGAATCTTAGGCGGAACGCCCAGAAGTCAAGACCACAGTACATTAGGACAGACATCAAACACGGCTCCCACTCTCGACGGGCTTTAAGACTTCAAATGTGCTGTTCGTGGAATTTTCTCGAGCTATATCACTGGAGTCCTACTGAACTACAGTGACCGCTTATGTGGCCCACTGATGATGATGATGATGATGATGATGATGATGATGATGATGATGATGATGATGATGATGATGATGATGCCAACAATGATGATGGGGGTATCAGTAACACCCCGAACTCCTGGCCTGAATTAGGTGAATTATCTGGCCCCCCAACTCTGGTATATCTGCCATCACTGGATCGGTTAAGCTCGGTTTGGGTTGAGCATCGCCATCAATACCATTACCATCATGACCAATGTCATTATGAAAACAACTTTTTGAGAACACAACAGTTTCTTTAGGTGACTGACCTAGGTTCAAGGTTTTGTAGCTCAAACTATCAAAAAATAAGTAGGAGTTTTGACAAGAACTTGTCGAGAAGGGATGACTGAATCTATGGGATACATTAGACCATTCAACAGATAGGTAGGTGAATTTGTTGATCCTGGAAAAACAAATAACGACTGTATGGGGGCCCAGTTGTTGGTGCAGCTAGTCAATTTATCATACCTGCTAAGAAGTGAGTAATCCACATCATAGTCTAAGTCATCACACAGTCTTGACTATTCTTCAAAATCTAACGGCCAAGATGACGTTGTAGTGCAAATTTTGGAGGAGAGAAGAAAAAAGTCAAGAGAAAAATATAAGCAACTAGGCGGTAGTTGTGTTAAACTCCCTGCATTCTTTCACTGAGCAAGTTTACACAGCATGAATACAAACTTGTATTTACCATGAAGGTATCATGTGCATCGGGAGAACTACTTCAAATTGCCCAAGTTGGGATATGCAGAAATTTCCAAATAAACGGGGCACGGCCTAAGGAATAAAACTAAAATGCATGGGCCGCCAAGTTTAAAGAAGTATGATGATATCCCACCTACTTCTAAGCCACTGGAGCTTTTGAGTGTTCTAATGCCTTGATTAATGTTATCACGTAGGAACCCGATGGTGCAAATTGGCTCTAGTGTATGGAACGAGGGCCGGTCGGCGCTATATATTGGGTTTGTATCTTTGGAGAGGTTTGTTGGTGGCAAAAACTTAGAGGAAAACATGTTGCTGAATAACTCACCTTTCTTTGGGGTTATTGTGGACCTTACTGTCAGGGATGAGGACGATGGTGTTATGGTTCTTCCGGTTTGACCGCTCCATTAGGAGTCCTATGAATGCATTCACTTTAGAGGAGCTACCCAGCGCAATAATCTCGACTTGTTTCGCATGAATTTCTTGATAGGGAGCAATGGATCTATGAGCATTAAGAAGATAATGTGGTTCATCGGTCATGGCACCTAAAGTATCCTACAGTTGGCTGACACAGCTTACGATGCGTTTTCTGGGTAAAAAAGACTCACTTGAAATAGATGCGGCTGATTTCAATAAGAGGACAGTGACATCAGGGCAGCCATACAGGTTGGAGTAAAGTATATTTATTGCTAGTTGAAGATCACCTATGGTGACCTGGCCCCCGCAATCACTACATCTAATCCATGAAGTTATCAATTCCTAGTCAGTTCTATCATTGTTTCTATGCCTCACACGGAGGGGAGTGCTGGCTGAAAAAAAGATAAAGGAAGGCACACACCACCTTATTGTGTTCGCTTCCTGAGGGTTCAGACCTTACATAGGTTCAGAGAGGACCAATGTCCCAGACCAGTAGACTGCTAACCCTGCCGGTGTGGCGATAAACTGTTTCCACCTGGATTTTTAGCGTGCCGACAAAGCTATCATATAAGGTAGGTCCTGTGCATTTTTCCACTGAATTCCTGGTGAGTTTAAGTCCCCACGTAGGATTTTGTGCTCATGTGGAAGAGAAGTCACACGCTCCAGAGTATAGCTCAGCGTGGATACTCGAGCAGGGAAGTCTCCAGGTGCTCTGTACATACAACCAACCAGCACTGTAGCACCCTTGTAATCCATATTGGCCCATAGGGACTTCTTCCGTTTTCCGGGTCCCGCATTTGCTAGCCGGAATGCAGAAAGGGTGTTGTGGAAATACACTTGGCATCTGCCCCCTCTTCCACCGTCTTGGTCACATCTAGAGTGCGCTTACACGTAGATACTTATTT